TCTCTCTCTCTCTCTCTCTCTCTCTCTCTCTCTCTCTCTCACACACACACACACAGAGGCACAGCTGCAGATGCGGCCCATGTAATGATATATGCATGCATGTATAAGAATGTCTTGCTTCTGGTGTGCAGAGATGGACTTCTTGCGGATTTGGTGGAATTTATTTGAATGGAATTTATGATATTCCTGAGTGGTTCAAAATCCCTAATGATGTGGGCTATATCATCTTCGTTGAAGTTCCTCAAAGAAACATGGGTCGTGATTTAAAAGGGTTGACTATATGCTTCGTTTACTCTTCATACAGGTCAAAACTCGTAGATTCTGAAGTTCCTATTTGCATTATCGTTAGAAATCTTACCAAACGAACTGCTTTGCACACCAAGATAGCATTTGCCTCCTCAAGAACTTACAAAAGACCAGAAGACCATTTGTTTTGGTGGAGACTCGAACAAAGTACTGCTTTGCACACCCGGATAGCATTTCCCTTGGTAGAAACTTGCAGTAAACCTGAAGACCATTATCTTTGGCAGGGACAATTGTCAAATGATGTGCTCCGTTTGGAAGGCGGTGATCGTGTATCGATTTTTGTAATGCCTGATGTTGATTTTGTGCGAATGAAGATAGGGGTTCATCTAGAATGGGACAAAGTCATGAAGGAAAATATGGATAATCCGGATCCTCATTTGTATGATTGGGAAACAAATGGGGATTTTTGAGGGGGAGTTGATGACTCCATTTCAAGAAATTGTTGTCACTAAGACGAATGGTAACCATACTGAGCAAGCCATCAATCTTGATGGAGGAAGAAGAAGCCATGATGAAGCAGAGACTCTATTTCTTAATCTTTTAAGCTACAACACTATTACACTCTATACAGTTGTCTAACTAATTCACATACCCTACTAACAACTCACGTGCCTTGCACACCTAACTCACTAACTGTTTACAATCATATCAATAGTTAACAGTTAGTGCGCTTTAAGTAGATCAACACCCCAATGCCGGTTAAAACAACATCACTTGCCAAAACTCCATCCTGTTTTCTGGGTTGTGGTTGTAACCGACTGGGTTTTGGTTCTGTGCCCAGAATCAAAGTAGTCCAGATGCAACCTTGAAACCTGAGGAAGAGATGGAGATGGAGATCGAGGCAGAGGCACAAGGAAATAAATCATACAACAGAAAATAATTACACATAAAAAATAATTTAAAAAACTTTCCATTAACTTCTTGGGTAATCTGATCTTGTCAATTACAAAGTTAAAATTTTCAATAAGAAAATACTCACAAGTTTCAATAGGAAATCTACTATAATGATTTGGTGATGAGATGACTCAAATGAGAGAGCCATGCAGAGACCACCACCTGTCCCAAAGCCCCACATGTCACATTCTGGTGCATTCTTCACTTCGGTAGGTAGCAGACACGTGTCAGCATAAGCAGCAACATACGCTGCACATCTCCTTCACACAAGTAACATTTTTTACATATAAGACCGAAATAGTACATGGAGCTTCACATTTAAGACCAAACATAAATCTCAAAATATAGGAAAACCCTATGCAATCCAAATTCCATAAAACAGCCCAGTTCGACTATTCAATGGACCTACCAATACAAACAACACTAGAAAATTATACAATTTATAAAACTTGTGTGCCTCAATTTCAATAAGAAAGTTAGGAAGATATAGGGCTATTTGGGAGTGCTTATGGTGACATCCTACGTTTCTTAAGGAAGGGAATTTTCAAATATTAAGAAGACTTACCATGTTCTCATCATCAAATGCGGCGTTTATGAAGCGATTTGAAAAACCTAAAGTACAATACTCATTCAGTAACCCCTACTTACCACTTGTAGGAAACTTAAAGTACAATACTCACATGATATACATGCTAAGTCTAAATATTATATCAGTCACTATATATCAACTCATCGTTTATCTAAGTCATATGCATCATATTTGTGTCAATTATCTAGTGTATGTGTGACAACTAAGCTGCATGATGCTATTTCTGACCTCAAATGTGTGGATGCCATGAATGTTGAAGTGAAAGCTTTGAACAAGAATGAAACTTGAGATTTAGTCCCTTTACCAAGAGGGAAGAAAGTTGTTGGGTGCATGTGGACGTTTACTTTGAAGCATAAGGCTGACGGTTCTATTGACTGATACAAAGCTAGATTGGCAGATGAGTGTATAACAAGAGATCTCTACCCTCAGTAATAAGGGAGAATGCTATAATGATATCATTCAGGAGTCTTCAGCCGAAGCACTAATTATGAATGAGAATGGTAATTCCAATCATACTTGTATGAGTCATATAAGATTGGAGTTCACATTAGGAGCTTGACATGTTTTCCATGCGCTAATTATGTAACCACGAACATTGAGTTAGAGAATGACTGTATTACATTGTAATAGCAACTGAATAGGTTCTCCTCCACGTTCTACATTGGTTTGGATAACCGTGACATCTTGCAAGATGTTACTCACGATTTGTGGAAGCCCTAAGGATATACCATAACTATGTTCTCATAATAGGGAGAATTAAAAGGGGTTTTAATTCACAATCAATTAAGGAAGAGTTCAGATCGCCCATTGCCTCACTGATTAGAATCTAATGGAAAGATGAGAGATGAAAAATTAATTATTAGATGATTTGCAACTTCCTTCATGGTATTAGAGTGGGTTTGCCCACGTGTGAAAGGCCAACGGCCAACGTGCTCCACCTTACCCAATACGAGTTGTCCACGTGTTACACTTGAAAATTTGACACACATGCTGGGGTGTGTGAGAATGTGAAGGTGAAAATGTCCCACATTGGAAAGTTAAAAAAACCTAACAATGGCTTATAAAGAGTTGGAGTACTCCTTCCATTAGTTTTGGGATGGAACCTCAACTTCTTTTAGGGTTTAGGATTTTAGGGTTTGACATGGGTCTAAACTCTAAACCCTAAAGTCAATGTCTCATACACGTGCTCCACGTCACCAAATAGGTGTTGTCTACATGTTACGCTTTAAATTCATCACACATGCGAGGGCGTGTGATAATATAACATCACTAATTATTTTCTCCAAAATCCTTAAATTCATAAGAGGCCGTTTCGTATAGAGCACTCCTTCATAATGCATTGCTTTAAATCCCAAAATGTTGATGCTTTCTCAAATGTGATAAATGTCCATGCTGCATTTCCTTATCAAAAGAGTAAAACTGTAACACTAAAACTTAGAATAAATAAGTGTCACATACAAATAAAGGGTATATTAAACTAATTTTTAGAGTCATACTTACATATTTGGTATTTTATTATAATAATTTGAGGCTCTAAAAGCTTACGTATTGCCTTAGGATCAATAACATGTCTCATTTATGAAAAATATTGCGGTAAAATTATCATCGCGATATTTATTTGCAGTGGACAATTATAAGTTGTAATGATATTTTTATTTCATAATATCTTGAATTTTTAAGCGTATTGTTTATTAAACATGTCAACCACCTTTAAAAAGTTCTTAGATTCATCACCATGGTTGCCTACGTTAAGATTGAGAAGAGCTGAGCAGTTGAGCGAGAAGACAGAAGAAAATCGCAAATGAGAGACTATGCCTTCAAATGAATTAGTCAGGACTCCAATGTGGTGTTGCCGGTTCTATTGCAACATTATATAACCGACGCAATGACCAGTCAAAGAACGCCGAGTGTAAATAATAAAATAAATTTGTGCTCTTCAAATTCACACAAGAAAACAAAAGAGTACTGCATATAGAATTTAACCGAGGCAATATTAACACAAAAGCTGAGATTTAAGCTGAAAATCTCTAAGGGGTTCACATAATAGTGACAACGAATTCATCATTCTCTACAAATCCATCCATGTTTTCAGCACACTGCATAGTTGCATTCAATAAATCACTCTCGTTTCTTTTGGAAGTATACTCCTATGAGATCTGGTTAGAAGTCCAACAAAAGGCCAACTCTAATCTTCCTTTTCTCCAGATTTATGCTCTCTGCTTTCGGCCTCACTGCTAGCATGATCAATCTGGTCGCCAGTAGCGACCGCAGGATGTTCATCTTCTCCTTTATTGATTGATCTAATAAGCATCATTACCACAACCACAAAACCAATTATGTATACAGTTCCAATCCCAATAAATGAAGACATAAAGCCCATAAACGATAGACCACCAATTCTTTCCTTTATTATTCTTCCTTCCTTATATCCTTCCAGGAACTGTGAGACTTGAGATGCCTGATCTTCCTCATCAATGCTTTCTGAACCATTCACCTATTTTACAAAATAATGTCAACTGTTTTGAATTTCTATCATGCAAAAGTGTCAAAAATGCAAGTGAAGTAAGAAAAACAAGGAAATCTTCAAGTGGCAAATGTAACATGAATATTATCTGGTGACCTGAAAAAATTACAAATGAATTTGGCTACAGATACAAACATGTCTACATCTTTGTTACTGCATTCTTTTAGGTAACTTGAGAGGCAACTGAACAATTGAGTAACCTATATCATGATCCCTAGAGGATTACTTTGGTGATGTATCGATGACTGGTTGGGCAAACCCAGCCGGCACCCCTCACAAGTTGACCTAGCCACAAAAGAAATTTGTTTTTAAAGGCATTACTTATATCCCATATGATCCCATGCTTGTGGGTCAAACATTATAAAGCTATAGCTCCCCTCTCAGTTTTTCCTATAAGTAATGTATGATACTCAAGCTCACAAGCAAGAAAAGAAGGGAAAGGCTCTACAGGTCATCAGAGATTATCTAAATCATACGTGCAGGCAGCTACTAT